CACTTCTAAGAAAAGCATGTTAGTACATAAATGGAAAGATGAACCAGAAAAATATTTCTCGTGCCTAATTTTTCAGTTACAACTGAGTATGATAAAACTATTTAAACTCACTTTAATGGCAGTTTACATCTCGTAACCAACACACAGATTGGGAGTAACTTTCTAAGTCATTTCATCAAAAGAATAACAACTGGTAAATGGATTTAACAATATAATATGTTATGAATGTTCTTAATTATGCATACCGCCGTTATATACAATCATTTAAGTCATCAAAAGCATCTGTTTGAACCATTCTGGGAGGTTGACTCAACCCATTGCACTTACAATAGAACAAGAAGTTAAAAAAAACTTTTGTTCTTACATATGTCTACATATACATAATATATATTTCAACGTGAAATGATTCGGATAACCTCACTGGTAATATTTCTAATGGAATTTGATTAGTCTTTATTGGTATTTACTTATCCTATGAGGACTACCTTGATACAACCATTATGACCCACAGATTTAAACAGAATGGACATAATGTGGTTACCCACTGCACAAGTAAGTGACTATCTGGACTTAGTGGCTAAGTTTATAACACATTGGCGTATGAAGCGAAAAGTACTAGTTTCGAGTTCCGGAGTGAACATCAACTCTGGGATGCAGTTATGTCCATTCAGCGAGTTGCATATAGGATGGAACGCTCTCCATGGATTCCACTAACAGCCATTCTACTAAATACTTGTTTCACAATGGCTAATTCAACGGATTCTACATAGGGTGCCCATATACCAACAAAGAAGTATCAAATTCCAGTGAAAATATCAACAACAGGATAACCCAAGACATTTCAAACTGAAGTGAATAACCAGCGGGTTTTCGTTTACATTCTGCAAAACATCGTGCAGCAAGATGAAGCGGCTTTTCTCGTTCTCAGTGGTTTTCTAGTTTAGATCAATAACATCACACATTCTGCGCTAACCCCATCCTATATTGTTAAATTTGTTCCTAGATTGTAGATTAACAGTAGTATTGCTGTTTATTAAACTTCCTTATAATACTCCCCATTAATTTTTGATATCTTACTATCAAGATATTCTAATTAACAAAAGAAATGATTATTCTTTGCAAATGCTACACTCCAACAAATACTACATTGATTATTCATTAGTCATTTTGTATTTTCTTTTGAATAAAAGATTAATTTGAAATGTACAGTCGTTGAGTACATATGGTTATGTCAAAATGATCTAAGTTGTTTATCTTTCAAAGCAGTTAGCTAACTATCAAAATACATTCGTTGGTATTATTTATTAGTTTTACTTATGATGTTTTTTGAATAATTTAAGGTTAGGAGAAGAAAGAAAGTTGTATTGACAAATTAATGAATATTTAATTTATCAGTCATACTCTAAACATAACTGAAATAATTTTTATCAAGAATAAGATTAGATTGTAATGAACTGTTTTTTGAAATGCATTTTATTTTAACTACTGTTTGTAAAGATTATGAAAGATTGTCGAATTTATTTTTGGTTCTATTAATAAATTACATTCATCTATGCATTCAGTAGTGAATATGGTTTAAGTTATCATTGGAAGCTAAGCAAATTAACGAGCTGACAAAACGAAAATAGATAGAAAGTGATAACAACATCATACAAGAAGGTGTAGTCATTAATTAGATAACACGAGTCATTGTCTATCTGTCAGGAGTTTTTTGAAACTGAAAGCTTTATATATATATATATATATATATATATATATATATATAAGCACTTTTTGAAACACGAATGAATATTTTGACAGAGATTAAGCTTCAGATATAGGAAAAAAAATACATTCGAGTATAATTTCCGAATAATTTCAGTGATTTAAACTGAAATAATTCTAATGTTCTATCTGATTAACTTGTCATTAATTGGATTTATCAAAGATAAATCAGGTTTACAAATCATAGTGTACTAAAACCCAAAATTTGTAAATATATTTTTTTCAATCTATTCGAAATATGTCGTAAAACTGTTTTGTTAACTGAGGGTCTTAATTGGAGCACAAATGATCTCTTAAATTATTATTAGTACCTTTATCTAACAGCCTACATGATTTATTGAACAGATTTTAAAACAAGATGAAATTAAATTTCATTGACCATTTTATTGTTAGCATTTGACTTATTAACTAACAAGTAACTGATTCACGAAATATTTTTGTCAAAACATTTTGTATTTAAATGATATTTTGATTTATTCATCAAAATCAAACAATTGAATAGTGGTTCTTTCTTCTAATAACGAATGAATCAATATTCAATAATTGTTTATGTGAACTAATGTGCATTATGACCGCCTAGTTCATTGTTGTATCTATAGCAAGGTCATAAAAATCATTTGCTATTTTTTTTTAGCCAACTTTCTATAAAAATTAATTAAATCTACTAAATAGAAAATTATGACACGAATGTTTAGTGATACACTAAGTTAAAAGATTTATTGAATAGTATTAATGTTATGTCTGGTAAAATTTGGTTCATTGTAACATGGAAAGCAAATTTCAATGAATAGATTGTATCTTATCTTAAAGGGATAATTTTAACCAACTTTTAACCTCTGAAATGTACTTAATATATAAAATGAAAAGCGTTATAATGAATAGAGAATTGTGAAATTGATGTATCTTCTCAAATTTCATCTTGTTTAATATACTCCTGGATGTTTTTCCAGTAGTGAAAAAAATTATTATTGGTAATAGCTTGCCTAAAAATTTCAAACCGAAATTTATTAACTGAAACCAATATATGAAATAACAGTTATTTGTTTAAAAAATACCAATCAACACCAAAATCAGGATTTTCAATACAAATGTCAAGACAGTTCTACTGAATGGAGAGGAAACTTGGAGAACTACAAAAGCCATCATCCAGAAGATACAAGTATTTATGAACAGTTGTCTACGCAAAATACTTCGGATTCGTTGGCCAGACATTGTCAGCAGCAACTTACTGTGGGAGAGAACAAACCAGATACCAGTGGAAGAGGAAATCAGGAAGAAGCGTTGGAAGTGGATAGGACACACATTGCGAAAGGCATACAACTGTGTCACAAGACAAGCCCTCACATGAAATCCTCAGGGTCAAAGGAAAAGAGGAAGGCCAAGGAACACATTATGCCGAGAAATAGAGAGAGACATGTGGAGAATGTACAAAAACTGGAAAGAACTAGAAAGGAAAGCCTAGGTTAGAGCTAGTTGGAGAAAACTGGTGGGCAGCCTATGCTCCATTGAGGGTAACAGGAGTAAAAAAGTTAATGTTCAAAAAAAATGTCAAAAATTTAATCCTATCAAAACATTTTTGAATGTCACATACTGAATCACAAAGTACTCATCACAAATCAAATATTTTTCATTGCCTCAATATTAAAACAACTAATATAGCGGTGATAAAAGTATTTACAAATTTCATTATCAAATAATCAATGAATGAATGAGAATATGTTCACTTTCAAACTGTAACATTCCTTTATACGATTATGAGAAAATTATTACATTCACTCAATCTAGTTGATAATTTAAAACTCAAAAAAGTTTCTTCGAATAATGAATTCAATCAATTTCAGATAGAAAATTCTGTCTGAACTAAGCAATTAATTAAAAGAAATGTACACATTACAAAATATTGTTGAAATTATATGCTACATTAAGCATGATTGCAAAGTATATCACGAAGTTTTCTCATGATAACGTGAAGATTAATATATATCAATTGAGTTCAAAGATTATTTAAACTCAGCTAAGTAAATGTACATATATTTGATGTTAAATCGTACTGATACCCATTTATATAAATCTTCAATACAGTTAATGTAGTATTATGTTAGGAACAATGGAAGATACAAGTAGTTCTTTGTTATTAGTAAATCATAATATATTTTTATTCTTAATAATAACTCCGCCTGTAGAACCTTTGGGGCTACTGTCGGTCTCAAGCCCGGATAAAGGAAGAGCGTTGAGCATGGGGTTGGCTACCCCATCCCACGAAAAAAACGAACTTGCCAAAAAAAACGCTAACTATTCTTAATAGTGTCAATATTAATAACTTTTTTTAGTTCCAAAAAAGGATATTTTGATTCTGTATTATCAGTAAGTTAGATGCATCATTTTGCAAGATATTCTTACGTAAAGAAATACTACACAAAATTTCTCAACTTAAGACTAATTGTACTGGTATTTTATTGGGACTTATAATAATGATTTCACTTGTGATAAACAAATTACCTTACTGAAATGAAAATAAAATTTCGCATAGGTATGATGAAGATATTGTCAAAAGAGTGAAGTGAGTTAATTCCAATGTTCGTTGAAAAGATCTTGGAGATTATTTTCTGTTTAAATTGGTTTTCATCAAAGATTAATATCAACTAAAGAACTGTTGACAATGAAACGAGACAGTGAAGACCTATTGCTTATTCATTTGCATCTATTTAGCTATGATTATTCACAAACTTGTCAGGAATTTGTGGTTCTTCTAGTTTCATGATAAACGTATTACGTTTATATTACTGAGACAGAATCCTATAACAATAGTGTCTTATTATCTAATGTTCACGTCGTCTTACAAAAAACTAATGTCAGTCTGTTGGTCTAAATGTTTTGACATCGATCTCTTGTAATGAGATAGATGGACATAAAAGACTCATCAACTGTACAGTAATCTCAGTCTTTCAATAATTCTTCAATTAGTATCATCTCAAACTTTAGCGGACATAAACTTTTTCTTTTTTTAAAGGAACGGAATGTAAATGTTTCCAAAAAATAGTTTAGAGCACAAAATGATGCACGTAATTCATGATAGTTTTGATAAAAATATGGTTTTGCCAGTTTTAGGACGTTTTTAATGAAAAAGATCTTTGTGTAAAGTTTTAAGAAATTTAAATCATGTTGATGAGTTAGAAAGAATAAACTTGACGACATTTATCATGTCAAAATGTTATTTTTACGAATTTGAAACTTACTTGCATCTTCAGAATCATGCTTTAATTCTTCTTCACTTCCTATTATTCTGTATGCAACCAGATAATTGAAATACACAGCTAATAAGGTGAGCTTTAAAATAACTGAACAAAAGTACATAGTTAGTTCACAAATTTTCTAAAATGAAGTTAACTGTATCAGTTGATTAATGATGAATTTAGTTTAATGATAAATTTTTTTTTTAATGAGAAGGTTTTATTGAACTTCAATAATGTTAATATTTTTGTTTGTTGGCCAGTAACTACTATGTCTGTTCTAGCTAATAGAGGGTCAATATGAATTTTTATTTGTAATTCATTAACTTATAAAAAGTTCATTTATAACGGAAATTATCACTGTTGTTTTTTTTTCTTCTTTGTTTCACTATTAATTGAATAATCGTGTTCCATTGCTGACAGTTGGATAAAAATGAAGTAATCTGATTCGTTGATGATTAGTTTCAGTAATTTCTACCAATGAAAAAATTGGAATATTATTTAAAAAAAAAAATTAATTTTTCCATACAATTCATGTACATGTATTCAAAAATAAGGAATGTTTGAAATAGATAGTTATGCATGATATCTTCATTTTCAAGCTTTTCTATTTTAATTATACTAAGTTAACTAGAATACGAGACATATCAAAAATTATTTAACATAGATCACATGTTGAATACTTATAGGGTTTTTGATTACTAAAGAAAAAAAAAGTAGTATGAGAAAAAGATGAAAAACATCTCTCAGGTTACTAAATGAATAAAATCAAATGATTGCAATACCACATTGAAAAAAATGCTCCATTGACACCATTGTCATGATATTTTGTAAATTAGTAAGGTTACTGCCCGGCTAACAGTTTTAAATGTTCCCAAAAAGACTGAACCGAATCCTGGATTAGTTTGATAAAATATCTACCATTAGTAACCATTATATGCTTCTTTATTATCTGTTTTAAATCTCATTAGAATTTACTCGTTATAGTTGTGAAAATGAATATATATGTACGAAGTTATATGCTTGCTCACACTTTCTAAGCGTCATTTGTAATTGACAAATGGAAGCTAACCCGTAGAAAGTTGATGTTTCTGATTTTCATTCTAAATATTTTGATTGTTCATTATTAATTAAGGATAAGGACTCTTCTCGTGTAGGTTTTTCCTAGGTCCTTTAATCAGCGTTAACTTTTATAATATTCAAGGTGTAGTCAACCTAAAATTAAGTGCGAATCGATAAATCTGCAAAACAGTGGTAACTGATTCGTCAGAAATTATACTAGTTTTTTTGAAACACTCTTCCGGAACGGTTGTTTCACCGCAACATTCTGATTTCTGTTCTATGATAAACTGTTGTATTCTTTTGAAATTTTAAACGAGTCTTTTACATTAATGTTTAAACAAATAGTACTATGGGAAAAGGTAAGGAAAGAAGCAAGAAATTTAAGCATTTAGCTGGAAAAATTACTGATATCCGAATGATTTGTGTAGAAATTACTAAGCGTCCTTTACAGCAAAATCATATTTCAGCAATAAATGAATGTTATTATCTTCAGTTATTGATAACTAAGTGGTAAATAATACATTTTTATACTGTCACCAAATCATATGTGAAATGTTTGAAAACAATCCGTTGTGTGAAAACGTTTTATTTTTTCTGTTTTCTTATTTTGAGATAATTCAGATTTTTTCATTCAGCTAAGCATTTAAGAGCACCGTTCAGTTAACGATTAAAATAGTGAAATAACTACTAATTTTTAATAAATGAAAGCTAATTAATAACTGATTGAATATCGTTACTGAATTAAACTTTATGGAAATCATTCATTTTACTGATGAAGCTATTTATGTCTTGATTTAATCGGTATAGAAAACCACAATGCTAACCAACTGATTTTAAGTAGAGGAAGGTGGTACATAGGAAACCGTTGAACTAGATTTCTTGCTAATTCGCATTCATCATCGAGATGTACCTGTAATCTTTACGGAAATTATGTTCTCGCATCACCCAGCTTTACAGTTTATTTAGCTATTTGGTCCATGAATAAATTGCCGTAGAACTAAAATATTTACAATCGACTAAGAATTACTTGTTGACTTACCTTCGTTACTGCCCAAATAACCATAGGGTAACCTCTTAGTCTATGTGGTTTGTAGCATCTCAGCATTTGTTCATTATACTAACTTTAATGATTAGTCGTTTAAATAATTCGATAACTGTATCAATGATTATATTTTTTGAGTAATAAAAAAGTTATGGCAAAAATACATTCTAGTGGCTCGTCTTAAATTCGAAGTGGGGCTCATCAATTTAGTGGCCCGTGAGTTGACTCCATTGTGGACGAATGATGGAGTATGTGATGAAATAAATCTTCCTTTCTATTTCCGTATATTATACTTGGGCAAACTCCGGCAGTAATAAGAAGCCTTATACGGTTTTGCAGATGAATTTATTTCATGCATTCATTTAACCAGACAGATATGAGGATGAAAAAGTGTATAAACAAGGTGAAGTGAAGTGGAGAGGGCGAGTGAGCCCACTCTCATGCGCTAAAGCATGACTAAGTATTTATAGGCTAGATATGTCATAAATCAGTAGGCATGTACGCGCACAACCAAATACATATTTTAATTAACGGAATTCGAACTAAACTAAGGAGTAAATAAGCATGATTTATCTTAGTAATCAGTGGTCGATCGTTGTGATTAACTGATTAAATGAATTATCTGCGTCGAAAACAATTTTTATTAATTATATTAAACAGTGAAAAACAGAATAGAGAGAGAATTGAATACTTTTTTAGAAAAACACTGAAACAAATGCATCCAGATAAGGCAGGTTTAGTCATCTGTCATAACGGTTTATTGTGAAATGAATTTCTACTTGTGTGTGTATTATGCAATAATGATAGAATCCAATTTGTGTGCTCAGTGTTATTTTGTAAATATTCATCACAAATTCAACCCAAACGATTGGTTACCTTTTGAAGAGTACTGGTTTACAATAAATGGTAAATGATCAAGCGATTTGTATGCCTCGTATAGAATTGGTTTATCCACACCCGATTGATTGATCTGCTTCTTGAGTGCTTATATGATAAAGGCACTCAAGTTATTACCTTTATATAGACGATCTATCATGTTTAATTGGATCTTATATTTGATCGAAAATCGTTAAATTCCTTTTCAGTAAATTTTAAACTATACTTCTAGACACAATTCATAAATCTCTTTCTGATGACCGATTTTGAAATTAACGAGAAAATAATGTCAAAGAAGTTCTGTTCATTTTATTTTTGAATATTCATCATTGAGTATTTTTAAATCATATATATAATTGACAAATAATTTACCCAGGAATTTTTTTTATCTTATTTAGTTCAATAAATGCTACTTTTTAAACGAATCCAATCATAAGATTTGATTATTTGATTAATCAGTCAGTTTAGGAGAGTTTATTAAAAATAACTGTAGCTTTTGAAGAATCATTCGTCGTGGTAGATAGTGGCGAAATACATTCAGCCTTGCACTCAACAGTACAAATTCTCTCTCAATCCAAAGCATAGAAAACATTGTTTTACAAATTTGGGTGTTATCAGTTGTTGTACTGCATTCCCTATAACAAGATAATGACGTGTGATAGGCAAAATAGCTAATAATTTGGAAATGAGAGAAGGATATGGTACATTACTGTTGTCATTAGATATATGCCAGGGGATATCACTTTCGTATATCGCAACAATATTTGTGATATATATAGTTACTATTGTAACCTCGACCATTAATCAGTATTACATAGCAAATAAAATATACCTACTAGAATTATATTATCACTAAAAACCATGTGTCATTTTCAAAACTTTATTGATCCACAACTCGATAGCTGATTTCTTTCTACTCTGTTTTTTAGTCAAGAAGTCTATATTCAGTTACCAGAATATTTCGTTTTATTTCAAGCAGACATAGTTCCCATACCAAATATAGGTGACTAGATCACACCATAAAATCGGAATATACATTCGCCAAAAGTGAATGTGACCAGGAAACGTTTTGAATAATAAATTAGGATTAATAAATCATACGACAGTAGCTTATTATTTCATCGTAAGATTACACTAAAAGGTATATGTGTACAAATATAATCTAGTTATTGAATTGTACACTAAGATCTTACACAACAATAATCCATAAACCACTTCTGGAAGTTACTATTCTTCTCATTTCCATGATATAGCGGCTACCATTCAAATGAGTGATATTTACTTAAAATATCATTATCATGTTGTGGAGTGTTACAGTTACCAATGTTCATGAACGAATCCCATACTTTACGTGTAAAACTAGGAATTTCAGTTACGACAAAGAATTATAGTTTAAATTCTATTAAATGTTATACTGCAAACATTTTGAACAAACTTCAGTACAAAATTAATGAATGTTATTGGATATTTCACCTTTGAAAATGTACATCTGGTGGTCGATTCGGTGGATTAACGAATAATAAATTGTATTTTATTTATGTGATTCAAGATATTTTAGACTTTGACTATGAATAATCTTTTTTGGATTTCATATTTCAATCAGTTATTTTGCATTGCTTAGTCTGTTTAATTTATTTTATAGTTTCTAAGTCAACTTATTAGAATACAGTATCTTTTGTTGTTACTGGGTAAGCCGACAGAAAAACCGAGTTTGCTTATTAGTTGAAAATTGATTTCAACCACAAACGAAGTTCCGGTGGATAAAACTAAAAACAAAACTGCACTGGATAGCTGTTCGTTTTACAGCAGGAATAATTGTCATTGTCAGAAATAAAATCCAGAATCTTTTTTACACTGCTAGCACGATATTATGGAATCATTGGGCTGATACTCAATGATCAGGATTTTTATTTGCTGTAAAACACGATTTCCATACAATGCAATATTTTGACACGTATCAAATTATTACTTTGCTGCTAGAGACTATTTTCGATGACAATTCCTGATATCCTCCAAAGTGAACTTTGCCATTTAACGAGTTATGAAGTAATATCTTTAATTATACTGGATAATAGTGACGTCATATTATGCAGTCATATTGTGGCATGATTACCTATTTCTAAATAAATAAAGAAAAAATCTTGTTAATTCTCCTTTGCCGTTTTGGTAGTCATCCATTTTTAGTGTAAACAAACTTTAATGACAAGATAACTACTTGAAATTTAGATATATTCTGTTATTTCAGAAATACATAACATTGACTTGATTGGTTTCTTGACTGGAGAAAATTTACAGATTTTGATCACATTTTAATCACTTTTTATCTGAAAATATGTTCTATTGTCTCTTTTAACATACGATTGTACAAACTTTTCGAATTTCAGTGTTGATTTG